CCCCAGGTCGGGTCAATGTGCGCTCGCGGAGATCTCGCACACTTATCTCCATTAATCTATTTTTAATTTATCATCTTCAGACAATGAGCGCTCTTCGGATACACACACACACCACACTACATATTTTTTTTTCTTCTTCATTCCATTTCATTATCGTTACTTTTATATGGAAGGAAAAATTGTATATTCTCACGTCGCTCCAATCATTTATTATAACATTTGTTAATTTGTCTTTTTCCTTTCTGACGGTTTCGTTCGACCTCGACAATTAACTGCTGATCGCGATTTATGCTCCGAGCATTCCAATGTTTCTCCACTCTCCTCCACTGAATTTCTCCGAAACCCATAGATTTTCTTTCTAAAATGTCTATCCTGATGATGATATATTCTTAAATATAATTAAGTTTCAAACGTATATATTCATATTTTTTAAACTTATTTATTTATTGAAACAATAAAAGAGAAATTCATTACTGAAAATTGTAGTAAAAAAAATGTTTATCCTAATGATAATTTATTCTTAAGTATAATTATGTTTCAAACATTTGTATATTTCTTATTGAGTCAATAAAATAGAAATATTCATTATACGAAATGTGAAGCAAATATCAAATCAAATATTACAGAAATTCCATATTAAAAATTTTAGTAAAAAAAATCATATTTTATTTGATTCCGAAATTTGAAAAACGAACTAATAAATTTTATTATAAAAATACATGAATATATTTCTGTCTTCTAGATAGTTTTTAATTTTGATTATAAATTATTAATTCACATAATTTACATAAATTTAAATATATTTAAGGAGATGAGTAAAATAAAATGTATGTTATTAAAAAAAATATAGTTGATTCTAAACTTTAGAAAAGAATAATAGTGTAATTGTATTTTGTATTTTTCCTTTTTGGATGCAGGAGGTTAGTTTATTATGTATTTAAACCATAGCACCAATTGTCTTTGAAAGGGAAAGAAAATAAACGGACAGATAGTTTAATAATCTTTTTTAAAAGGATATTTGCGACCCTGTTATTATAGAGCTTATGCGCCGGAGAAGGGACCTATCATTAAAAACGAAGTCACGAATTGTGACATTACTTATGATACACCACTCGTCCTCCTCTCATCCGCAATCATTATGATTTTTTTTGTTGTTGTTGTTGTACCTCTTCGTTTCGTGCTGCTGTTGTGTTCGTTTCCACATTTCCACGTCTCAAGGAATTTTTGATTTATGTGCCGATCATTCCTGTTCCCTGTTCTTTTTATTATATAAGTGTGCGCAGTTTAAAGTGCCCTAAAATTATGAAAGTTAATTCCACGTTTTGAGTTGGCCACAAATCTAAGTTCTTTTTCCTCTTAAGCAATTAACTCCTGACAAAATGATTAATAGTTCTAACGTTGACCAGGACGATCTTTTTTTTCTCTCTCTTTCTATCGAATAGAGTTGAGTGTGTGTACATGTGATAATGTCTCAGGGCATAGAGGGTTCCAACCCCTAATAACATGGTACAAAATGGTTCATTTTTATTTCGACCGTAATCATTGTTATTATCCTGTGATTGTTACAGTGGCCAAGAAATGCTGGTCCGCAATTACCGCCCCAAATATCGTTTTAATTTTCGTCCTACTTCTCTGCCCGCGTCTCCCTTCCCATCCAGGACTCTAAAGGGAATAGGCTAAGTGACACACACACCCGCAATCTTGCCCTTAATCCCGTAGGGTATGAGGGTTGCATTCTTGCAAATCCCTTAATACGCACCCTATCTTTTCCGTTGCGTATACCAGTCACACATACACTCGCTCTCTTCATCCCTCTGGTATTTCCAGCTTCCAACTCTCTCTCCTTTACCTAATAAATAATTTAAATTTAATCACGTCGCTTTTGAGACGGAATTCAATTATCCATATTAATGCAATGGAAGACTTGATTATTTAAATAAATGATTTCGGGGATCGCCAGATTCGTTGCTGCGGCCACCTGAGGGTGTTGCGTGATTCTTTTCTGGGCCTGATTACGAAGGCTACACCTAGTGACACCTAGGCGAATTCTTCGGAAGCGGCGCTCTCTCTCCCCGAGGAAATTACAAAATACATTGGATTTTTCCAACGCCTGCATATTTACGTGAAAAATAAAATTACAATATCAACTGGATACACACGTACATATACGTACACCAAATAGAGCGAAGCGTTGATGTATATGCAGGTGCGTCGGATTTTCAGGTAAAAATTAAATTTCGGGACCGAATTTATGGGAGGACTCGCGCGTCCGCATCGCAACGTTCGCTCCTATAATTGATTTTTTATGGCGAGTACGTGGGATAATTGCAGTTGAAAGTTGTATTTTCTAATTCCCGTGGAAGGATGGTGAGAGATGTCCCGGAACGTTACACTTTGCCGGTATATCTTAATATATGGATCTCCGCGGGCTCATTAGTTCGAGTGTTGGCCGTCAAAGCGACACCACTTCCGGTATAAAGACAACGACCGCAAAGTCCTCTCCGCAAATACACACACACACATAAGAATTATATAAATTATTCATTTCATAATTAAATCGCTATACTCCGCTTTCTTCATTAATAGGAATGCCTCGGCGCGTTCGACACCAAAGTGTCCACAGTTCCGGTCTCGGGGATGCAACGAATTGAATATGCATGCAGGATGGAAAGGAAGGAAAGAAAAATTCAACGAGCAGCGAGCGAAGGCTGTTGTTGCTGAACCAGTGTGGGACACATATACAGGTAATGATTATGGAAATGCAGGAGATCATATCGCAACCAGAAATTTCCGACGCTCCGATTCATATTCCTTACTTAATTTATATAACTTCTCAAATTAACAAAATATATCAATTTTTTTACAATGTTCATCAATTTGAATTTACAATTAACGTTTTGATTAACTTTTCTAAGTTGTTAAGTAATTGCTTATATTTGAATTAAGTCTATCGACAGTGTAGACCGACACAGATAGAGCTTTCTGCGGGAGACGCAACATCCAGGACACGCGTAATTGCAAGTCCGCCCCGCAATTACGCATTTTGGTGGAGAAGAAGCCGCCGAAGTCTTTGTAAGGAAAATTTAATTAATCTAATCCCGTCCCAAGCAGGTGACGTGCCGGAGTCACAAAGACCGATCTTTCTTCGAGGCCCTCCTTCGTCCTCACATCAAAGGGCGTCCCAACTTTCTTATATTATTCTCATTCTTTTTTTAAGCACACACACACTTTTCCACTGTTTCACAAACACATTCCTTTCATTTCAGATTTTCAACCAACGGAAAATGAAAATTCACTCAAAAATCAATTGTATGTACCTAAAAATAATTTATACTCGCTTGAAATAATTGCTTTACAAGCTTATTCTTCGAATATACCTACACATACTTAATAAGTCCTATATTATGTATACTTAATTAAAAACTATTCTAATAATAATTGTATCAAAACTGAATAACATCATGATCTATACAGATTCAAATCAATTCTTAAAATGTAATAATTGTCAAATCGAATATTTGGCTTAATAAAAAGTAAATTTAAAATTATTAAGCAATTAATTAATTAACAGATAAATTTAAAAAAAGTGTAAACACTAATTGATTAAAATATGCTACTCTATCGCCATCTATTATCTAACATCTATAACGTAAATGAAATGCTACTCAATTATCGGAAACTATTTAAACCATAGTAGTGCAATTTCTTAATTCTTTACATCATAAACCTTGGTTTTATAATTCAAATAATGATTACGAATTCTCAAATGACTAATAGTAAAATTTCAAAAGATTTATTATATAGTTGAATACAAAATCTTAGTCTTAATCAATATTTTATAATCAAATAATAATAATTATAAACTAATTTTATTAATTCTAGAATAAAAGTATATTTATATTTGAGATAAACAGAAAATTCGGTTATTAACTTGAAATGGCTGCAACCAATTTTACACGTTAGAAATTTACTTGTATCTGCAATGTTCTGAATATTACATTTTTAATAAATAAAGTATATTTAGCCACATTATTATTTAGAAATAATAATAATAATGGTTTAATAAACTATAAGCAATTACAGTCCTTGTATAAAATATTTCATTTTTGTTATAACAAAATTGTTAATAAAGATAAAAATTATTCAACTGCGTGTCCTTGATTTTGTTTGGTGATGAATCTATGAAATTATTGATTGCTGAAGATTGTAAATTAATTTAAGTAAAACTGAACAAAAAAAAGTACATCCAATTCGTAAAAAAAAAGTCGGTTGAAATTTATTAGGGAAGTTTTTTCAAAATGCCTTGAAGGTATATAAATCTCATTTTATCGGAGACACCGTGTATTAAGAGGATGCCGTGCGCTTCTCGATACATGTAAAACCGCAAGGGGACAAGGGTAATCCATTTAGCCGAGGGGCGAGCCGTTATCGCATATATTCCTCGTACAGCTTCATTCTTCTTTCTTTTTACTCGTCCTTTTTTTTTCGCGTTAATTAAGAGCGCGCCCCTAATTGAAATATACGCCAATGATAAGTGCTAACTTTAATGTCGCATCATCGCAAAACTTTCCATCTTTTCATTACAGTCTCATCTCCCTCTTCTTATATAATTTTTTTTTCTGGCCTTTTTTTCTTCTTCTTTCTTTTAAGGACTGCCACCCTCTGAAGTTTTATGGTTGCTCGGTATAATTAAAAGTTCGGTATGGAGATATGCACTCCACGGATGGCAGGTGTGAAAGAGCCCATAAAAATATATCAATCATAATTATGGAATGTTTGCTGCAAGTCCGTGGCCCTTTCCTCAAATTATATGTATTGCAACGCTCTTTTTCCTTACCCAACTGATTACTATTGTTTTACACCATAAATCATACCAAGAGACCCTTCAATTAAACAAGAGGAACGCCCCAAAAAAGGTTACAAATAAAACAAACATTTTTTTTACAAAAAACAAAAGTTTCGCTTTTATTTAGAAAATACAATAAATAAGTGATCCAAACCATAAAATAAATATAAATAACCCATGACATCAGCCCTTACCTTTAACTTATGCTCCGATTATACGTTACTGGTAGTATCTGCTATCATATCCTTCTTCTTTGTAGTTTGTAGGCAAGCTGTAGCCAAGCCGACGATCGACATCAGAGTAAATCCGACGTTCTGGATTCTTCTTAATCTCTCGGACATTTACATCCGTGGAAACTTTGAGCGGATAAGCGGACTTGCTGGACTCGTCAAATCTGGGCTTCGAGTAGGGATTGCCGGCGGCCCTAAACTTGTCCGCGCCAACGGAAACCGGAAGTGACGTCACGTAGCGATCTCGATAGCTGTATCTGTCCCTCAGATCGACGTTTGGAGGTGACCGACCGAGATCCGGCAAGGTCGCATAATATATAATCCGACGATGCTTAGAAGGTTTATCCTCCTCGTAGTACTGGTAGTCGTAATCTTGTCGGCGATAGTAAGGATCTCTGTAAGGGTTGTAGTGTCTAGCTGGTCTCGGGTAATACTCCATGTCCCTATCCAGATCTCGTGATAATTGTCGGTTATTGGGCTCGCGAGATCTGCCTTCGCGGTCGTAGGAGTGGTAGACCAACGGTGGCGCTGACTCGGATCGCCTCTGGGTCACGAAGTGCACCCTTGGAGCTCTCGCGGTTTCACTTGCGGATGCTACGCTGTCTTCGTAGTTTCTATCAGGGTCAGTAGTTTGCACAGGATAGGGTTGTTTGATCCACTGCTCCTTAGTGGCACCCCTCGGTTCTCTATTCCCTTCTGGCACCGAATCGCTTAACAACATCTTGCCGCTCCTCTCCTCTTTATTTACCCTGAGATTATCCTTAGCCTCTCTCTTGAATCGAATAAAATCATTTATAACGAGATCATTTTTACTTTCGACCTCTGTTGAATTATCTTCGTCCAGCTCTTCTAATTGTAAAGGTTTTGTGAACTCATCATCCGGCAAGTTTACCTCTGCATCTTCCGTCTCGCGTTTTGCGACTTTCTTTGCCGGATAATAGATTCGGAAGCCACCTGGTTTCGGAATATTTTCCAACGAACCGTGGCTTCTCACCTCATCTCCGTTCAGCGCTCTCATGTAACGGAAATAGTTTTCTTTCGCGTCCGATTCCTGCTTCTTTGCGCACACACACGCCAATATGCAGATCGCTATCAGTAACTTCATTGCTGATCCTACAAATACAGACAAAATAGAAAATATAACATATTATTGTTTGATAGATCTCTACAACCGGAAGTGAGTGTTGTCACGCAGGAAGTTGCTCAAAGAGCAGGATGGATGGAACAAAGGATAATTTTGGGTCCGTTTTCGCCGATTGATTCGACCTCCTTCGTATTGAAGCGATCAACTATTGCAATTCAGTAGATGTGCTCAGATTTGAAGGTACTTACTCTCATGGAAGTATGGAGAGTTGATCTGATGGACAAGTGCAAGCCTTGGATGGATGACAAGTGGATGCTTGCTGTCGCCGGACTTATTTAATAATGAGGATACCGTGAATGACCGATGTCACTAAACCTGGTCTACCTCCGTGGTCCATGGCACACGGGGTGGGAGTTGCCTGGAAATACCTTCAATGCCTGTGATCAGCGTTACGTAACGGGCGAGTCAATCCATTCGCCGCGACATGAAAATATTCCATTGCTGCGGATTTGGTCGCCGTACAAAAAAAATAATAACAATAAGCCAATTGTCACGGAATCCATTCAGAGTCGATGCCATCAATTGTTCATGCTGCGTGTGCTTTTTTTTTAGCCATAACGCAGCATTGCTTTTATGTTTTGTTTTTATTTTGGTTAATTTTTTGAAACAGATAAACTTTATTCTCTGGAATGGTGGATGGATGGAGTCGTCGCTATTTATCTGAGTCTGGCCGTAAATGTTATATCTCTTTATTATCTTGAAACTTCCTGAGCCTACAACGGAACAGGCGGTCGCCAAACGAATGGAACGATGAAATGCGCTCATTCGATATGGAAATGTCCATACACCGATATTTGCTGCCACTGGATAGCTTTGATCCTGACAAAACATACGTCCCGAGGGAATCACAGTGCGATTAGTGTCGGCTTGTGCTAGGCTATAATTGACACCGAAAAAATAACAACAAATCCAATCGCCTGATAAATCCCTTGCGTATATTAACACATGCCGGACTGCTCGATCATCACATTAGCTCCATTAGTTATCAAAAAGTGGTTAGTGTGTTACGAAGAATTAGAGCGGTTAAGTGGCCAGCGCGCATCAAAACCGAAAGCACGCGAGTTCAACGCAAAGCGCATTCCACCATTATTTTAAGGTAATTTACTCTAGTTCTTTCCATCTAACAAACAAAATAATTAACAAATTCCGTTACATTTACACAGACTGAGGAGCATGGAAGATATAGACTTAGATTCCAATCTACTTGATGATTTCACAAGCCTAGAATTCCCTCAGCCGGAAGAAATCAGCGAGTTTCTTATATTCGGTAAACCCGACGACCCGCATACCGATGTCATCGACGACTTAGACGGTATCATCACCGTCTTGGATAAGCCAAAGAAGGACTCCTTCCTATGCTCGCCCCAAATCTGCGACGAAGACGGCATAAACTTCAACCTAAAATGCTACTTAGAAAACGAATTCGGCTTCGACGCCAATTCCATCCTCAACGAAAACAGCTTCATCGAAATCAATATTAATCCAGAGAATCTACTCTCCGATTCAAGTTCGGGTGATATTTCGGAATACCTAGGCAACTTCGATTATTTATTACAGGACCATCCGGATTTCTGCGACATCACAGCCTGCGATGCAACCTCCGAGAGTCCGCTGCTGGAGATGTTTCCGCACTTGAACGATGAGAAGAACAAACGTCGCAGATCGCTGCTTTTCGAAAACAACTTTGCGCCAAAGGGCAAGCAGGAGCAGACCAAAGAAAGAAAAACGCCGTTGAAGTTTAATAAACAGAATCACGACGCACTGCTTAACCACGATTACACTCAAAAGAAGTGCGAAGATCAGAAGTACTTCACTTGTCCTATAAGCAATTGTGAGAAGATCTATGCGAAATCCTCGCACTTAAAAACACATCTTCGGCGGCATTCCGGCGAGAAGCCCTTCGCCTGTAATTGGCTGAATTGCAACTGGAAGTTCTCCAGGTCAGATGAATTGGCCAGACACAAACGGTCGCATTCTGGAATTAAACCATACAAATGTGAACTTTGCGAAAAGGCTTTTGCACGATCAGATCATCTTTCCAAGCACAACAAAGTACATAGAAAGAAGATGGCACTGTACGGTTCGTACATCATCAAAAAGCGTCTGCGCTGCAACGATTGATTTATGCCTCATACATACAATCATTGATGTGCCATTTACGTTTTGCTAATTAAATACTAATTTTTATTTACTGTTCTATAGTATTACGAATTCGATGTATGTTATCAAAATTTCAAATAAAACAACATTAGAATTTCATTAATACATTTATCACTGAATTGCACAATTCATACATTCATCTTTCAATGTTTACTACTGATGCATACACTGCAATCTTGTTGCAACCACATGTTACTTTTTTAAAAGCAACATGTGTCATTAACTAGACATTCAAAACGTATAGTTATTGGGTTTTAAAACAAATATAGATAATAAATACAATATTTGATTATTCTCAAGAAGCTAAAGTAAACATATTTTTATGATGTTATTGACGACTTAGAAGGTATTATCACCAACAAATATATCCATCATCATTGACTAAGAATTTAACTATTTAAAAAATCTATATTCTGAGTTAATTCTAGAATATTTTTACATCGATATAATGCATTTGCAATCTTCTTTCTTCATTTCTAAGACTATGCAAATCTATTCATAACAACTTAAAATTGGAGAATGAACAAACTATTTGAAACATTTCAAAATAAATTCTATATTTCTACAAACTTGAATCAATACAAATCTAGTGATTAGTTTACTACTAAAGGGATTGAAATCTATTATCAGCTTAATATAAGTATACTAACAAAAAAATCAACAAGATGGAGAAAGAAAAGCTTGCTTGGCAAAATAATAAATGTACTCTTACCTTGAATATTTCAAAATATCCAGAAAATCAATGTATATATTTTGTAGACTGTTGATAGATTAGAAAACAAATCAACAGTCTTTACATCAAAGATTTAGCAACTATATAAGTGTGAAAGAATTGTGGTATAGATATACGAAATAATAAACGTATGTTTTGATGTCTGTTTTATTTATATTTTATTGAGAAAGTTATAAACTTATGCAGTGGATACAGCAGTCTTGGTCTTCTTCACTTTCTCAGCTGATCCTTTGCCTTTTTTCTTGCCCAAATTGTCGCGTTCGGCAAGCCACATTTCGATGTGGCATGGAGAGGACATGTATGGGTTAATTCTACCGTGAGCACGGTATGTACGACGCCTCAAGCAAGCGGCACGGTTAACCTACAAAATCGCGAGTATTAACGTAATGAATGAAACTCAGAAAGACTTCAATATCGACTTACCTGAATGTGTTGTACGACGAGCCTGTCGACATCTAATCCTGCGTAATCCGCGTTAGATTCTGCGTTCCTCAATAATTGAAGAAGGAATTCTGCGGACTTCTTAGGCCAACGTCCTTGCGTGGTTTTGAATTGTTTTGCTTGTGCACAACGTCCAACGCCACCATTGAAAACGCGGAAAGGCACGCATTCCTGTTGGTTGCTTACATTTTTCAAATAAGCTACTGCCCTTTTCAATGGCATATGCCTGATGGCATTTGCGGTTTCACAAGTGTTCTAAAATAACAAATAATAAAATTAGTATATTTACAAGATTTTAATAGGAGAATACAAGTGCTCAGGACTTTTTTGATACTTGCGTTCTTTAGTTACAACAATCAACATAGATCAATGTTTTTCTTTGTAAAGTATAATTGTTTATGGTACATACCTTGAAGTGGACCCTCAAGTTTGAGCCACGGGCTTTGCAAGATCTTGCTACGGTGTCGGGTTCACGAGCGTAACGTCCCATTTTGTAGACCTACTGAAAAAGTTTTGTAAATGAAAACACTAATAGATCTGTGGGATCACAACACAAAACACATGAAATTTCTCCGGAAATCGACGCAAGAACCACGTGAAATAACTTAGCGACCACGTGCTGCTAAATATTCTGGACGATATTTCAGTATTTGCGAACGATTTACTCTGAGAATCTTTCAGATGTTTTTGGATATTTCCAAAATTATTGTAGATACACAACGTACCTAAGTAGCGCGTTAAAAAGAAGAGACACTAACAACAGCGCTACCAATAATTACACTTTTCGTAGCAGTTCTACCAACATCGCGTAACCAAATATACAAGATCGTAGAAGCAGCGCCAATATTTAAAATATCTACAAACTGTTTACTTAATAGATATCTATTACTTATGCTTAATTCATATTTATTATCATATTTCATAACACTGTACTACACGAACATGTATTCAGCTTTCTTTGTTATTAATATTTGTGCATATTATATCTATATCTTCTTATAAACATCATTCTTCTCATATATCAGATTACATAATATATACAAATGTTTGTTATCTGCACTATATAATGCCGGCATTCTGTACAATATCTAAACATTATTTATAATGCCACATGGCATTAACATATACATTATTAAACGATGCTTATTAGCTAATGTCAATAAAAGAGCTGTAGACCAGTGAATAGACATGTTTTCAGACATCTTTGTTATTATTACATTTGTAGAATATATGTAATTCTATATCTTCCTATAAATATCCTTCTCTATAAACATTAAACCAAATATGTATGTTATCGACAAGGTGTTTAATACCGGTATTCTACATAGTGTCTTTGCATTCTGTATATTTATTAAATTTGAAATATTTGTTTAGAAATTTAAGACAAAACAAATTAGATTTATATTTAATATAATGACTATAAAATGAATGAAAATTATTAGATGTAATGAACATGTGGGATTTTCTGCAGAAAGGGTATGATATTAAGGGAATAATGTATAGAGATCCATCTTTATTTATTCACAAAAATAGTTTAAATAAAAAACAATAGAAAAGTTCAATCTAAGTATCACAGAAGAAACGGAATAAAAATACACACAGCACATTCTGAAACGTAAAAATAGAGCTAGTGGAATTCTTTAGATTTGTAAATTATAAATAACGAAATCAATAATTCCGATGCAGCGTTGCATTATCAGGGAAGATCATTTTTGCCGACAACTTCGTCCACCTGTGCATTAATTCATTAACCTCTTGCCAAACGCAATATAAAAAAAAATCAATCAATTTTGCTGCACCGTTTAATGAGTGGTTGCGGTGAAATAACTAACTGTAAGTTCAACCTCTGGTTCCAGACATACCTCTATTAGCTAATGTTCAAGTCTTTAAAAGTTCTGTTCATAGCTTTCATTGAGTACTTGAACATTCGCTGAAATATTTTTTCACATCCTTTTTTTATCGGTATTTTCATTTTACTGTTAACATTAAATGGAACACAAATTCGTCAAATTAAATACAGTTTTTTTTATGTTCGCGTTAAAGTTAATTGCGGCGAAATAACTAACTGTAAATTCAACCACTTTGGTTCCAGATTTAGCATTATACATACATCTATTAGCCAATGTTCAAGTCTTTAAAAGTTCTGTTCATAGCTTGTTCATTGTGTACTTGAACATTCGCTGAAATATTTTTTTACATCCTTATTTTTACCGGTATTTTCATTTTAGTGTTAACATTAAATCGAACACAAATTCGTCAAATTAAATACGGTTTTTGTTTGTCTTCGCGTTAAAATTAATTGCGGCGAAATAACTAACTGTAAGTTCAACCTCTTTTTTACCAGATTTAGGAGCATTGTACATACATCTATTAACCAATGTTCAAGTGTTTAAAAGTTCTGTTCATAGCTTGGAACATTGATGATGGCGATATACGTTTCATTGAGTACTTGAACATTCGCTGAAATATTTTTTCACATCCTGTTTTTACCGGTATTTTCATTTTACTGTTAACATTAAATGGAACACAAATTTGTCAAATTAAATACAGTTTTTTTTTATCTTCGCGTTAAAGTTAATTGCGGCGAAATAACTTACTGTAAGTTCAACCTCTTTGGTTCCAGATTTAGGAGCATTATACATACATCTATTAGCCAATGTTCAAGTCTTTAAAAGTTCTGTTCATAGCTTGGACCATTGATGATGGTGATATACGTTTCATTGTATACTTGAACATTCGCTGTAATATTTTTTCACATCCTTATTTTTACCGGTATTTTCATTTTACTGTTAACATTAAATCGAACACAAATTCGTCAAATTAAATACAGTTTTTTTGTCTTCGCGTTAAAGTTAATTGCGGCGAAATAACTAACTGTAAATTCAACCTCTTTGGTTCAAGATTTAGCATTATACATACATCTATTAGCTAATGTCTTTAAATGTTGTGGTCATAGCTTGGACCATTGATGATAGCAATATACGTTTCATTGAGTACTTGAATATTCGCTGAAATATATTTCACATCTTTTTTTACCGGTATTTCCATTTTACTGTTAACATTGAATCGAAGACAAATTCGTCAAATTAAATAAAGTTTTTTTTGTCTTTGCGTTAAAATTAATTGCAGCGAAATAACTTACTGTAAGTTCAACCTCTTTGGTTCCAGATTTAGGAGCATTATACATACATCTATTAGCAAATGTTCAAGCTTTAAAAATTCTGTTCATAGCTTGGACCATTGATGATAGCGATATACGTTTCATTGAGTACTTGAACATTCGCTGAAATATTTTTTCACATCCTTATTTTTACCGGTATTTTCATTTTACTGTTAACATTAAATCGAACACAAATTCGTCAAATTAAATAGTTTTTTTTGTTTTCGCGTTAAAGTTAATTGCGGCGAAATAACTTTCTGTAAGTTCAACCTCTTTGGTTCCAGATTTAGGAGCATTATACTATTAGCCAATGTTAGAAGTTCTGTTCATTGAGTACTTGAACATTCGCTGTAATATTTTTTCACATCCTTATTTTTTACCGGTATTTTCATTTTACTGTTAACATTAAATGGAACACAAATTCGTCAAATTAAATACAGTTTTTTTATCTTCGCGTTAAAGTTAATTGCGGCGAAATAACTAACTGTAAGTTCAACCACTTTGGTTCCAGATTTAGCATTATACATACATCTATTAGCCAATGTTCAAGTCTTTAAAAGTTCTGTTTATAGCTTTCATAGAGTACTTGAACATTCGCTGAAATATTTTTTCACATCCTTTTTTTACCGGTATTTTCATTTTACTGTTAACATTAAATGGAACACAAATTCGTCAAATTAAATACAGTTTTTTTGTCTTCGCGTTAAAGTTAATTGCGACGAAATAACTAACTGTAAGTTCAACCTCTTTGGTTCCAGATTTAGGAGCATTATACATGTATTAGACAATGTTCAAGTCTTTAAAAGTTCTGTTCATAGCTTGGACCATTGATGATGGCGATATACGTTTCATTGAGTACTTAAACATTCGCTGTAATATTTTTTCACATCCTTATTTTTACCGGTATTTTCATTTTAATGTTAACATTAAATCGAACACAAATTCGTCAAATTAAATACAGTTTTTTTTTGTCTTCGCGTTAAAGTTAATTGCGACGAAATAACTAACTGTAAGTTCAACCTCTTTGGTTCCAGATTTAGGAGCATTATACTATTAGCCAATGTTAGAAGTTCTGTTCATTGAGTACTTGAACATTCGCTGTAATATTTTTTCACATCCTTATTTTTACCGGTATTTTCATTTTACTGTTAACATTAAATCGAACACAAATTCGTCAAATTAAACAGTTTTTTTTTTGTCTTCGCGTTAAAGTTAATTGCGGCGAAATAACTAACTGTAAGTTCAACCACTTCGCTTCCAGATTTAGCATTATACATACATCTATTAGCTAATGTCTTTAAATGTTCTGGTCATAGCTTGGACCATTGATGATAGCGATATACGTTTCATTGAGTACTTGAACATTCGCTGTAATATTCTTTCACGTCCTTTTTTTTACCGGTATTTTCATTTTACCGTTAACATTAAATCGAAGACAAATTTGTCAAATTAAATAGTTTTTTTTGTCTTCGCGTTAAAGTTAAATGATGATTAGTATACCGGCAAACATCATGTACAATATAAGTAACATTAATATCTATTACTAATCAATGAAGATGAATTACATTCGATTCATATATCTATTCTTAAACGTTATATGCATTTTTTCGTCAATAGTTTAAGATGTTTGATTTGGTGTTGAAGTATATGTTACATTTACCACAATTATAGCTGCAATATAATCATAATATGTAAGGATTTAAAATTATAGATTATCCTAATCAACGGTCAGTTAAAAATTCACCTGCCTGTATGTATGAAAGTATGTTTTATAAATTAGACTGCTTTGACAGGCTCAAGATTCATGGTTTTGCAGACCCAACCTGCCACGTCAACATCTTTTTCGATATAAATTTGCGACCAGGTTTTCTTCTGAAAATGTAAAATCTCTATAATAAATTATATATAGATGTTAATGTAATATTTACAAGCAATTTAGTTAGATTGCCTCTAGCTTTTGGATCTTTCCTCAGAGTAGTATCGATGAAATCTTTAAATTCAATTGAGAAGAGACCATCAGGAACAGTAGGAGGTTCGTTGATAACTACGTAGTTTAGTATGTCGAAAATGGACATATCCATAAAATTATACATTTTGATTTTTCCGCTTAGTATCTGCGTCAATGTATCCTTTTTAGGAGGCGGTATAGGATACATGCCTATGGCCATTTCAAGTAAAGTGAATCCTAAAGCCCATATATCGCTTTGGACAGTGGAATTTTCCCCTTGTAATCTTTCAGGCTAAAAAAATAGATAATTACTCATAAATTCAAAACACCGACAAATTACTTACAGACATATAGCTTCGAGTTCCAATAAAGGAATTAATCAATGAGTCACTCAGATGACAGGAGGCTCCGAAATCGCATAATTTGATATCTCCTTTACTGTTCAGCAGAATATTATTTGGTTTCACCTCATTGTGAATAATTGAATGAGTTTCAATGAGGTACATAAGAGCTCTCAATGAGGCAACAGATATTTTACCCAGAATATTCTCTGGTATAAATCCAGACTTCCTGACAATAACATCAAGAGAGCCAGCATTCATATATTCCATGCAAAGGCTAACTTCACCTTGCAAATAGAATGCTGTATAGAAACCAATGATGTGAATGAAATTGCAGTCATGCAATACTTTCAGATCACGAATTATGCGAATTTTCGTTGAGTGCTTCACTTCTAAGTGTATGATCTTCCTTGCCATTACTATGCCAGTTCCCTTATGTCGAACCTTCACTACGACTGCACCATTCCCAGTACCAATATCTCCTAAACCTTCAACATCTTTGATGGAAATCTCATCACCCAATTTGGCTTTTTCAGCAAGGAACAAGTTCACCTTGTGCTGTTCCACCTCATCCATCACATGGAATTCACCAATCTCAGTCATGGCTAAACTGAAATATCACATAGATTAATCATCTAAAATATGTGAGCTCAATTGTGACAGTGGGATGATCTGTTTGATCAGAGCATACATACAACTAATCTTAAAAAACATTGCATAACAAACAAATGTTGTGAGCTGCCCAATCATTCCTTGATCAGCTTTACTGAAGTTTCTTAATCCAAGCCTCATATTGATATGTAAGTGACAACGAAACTATTAAATAAAATAATAAAAATCAACAAACAAAGAATAATAGAAAATGTGATATGGTTAAATATCAATTTAATTGTTACAATTGAGATAATACTAAAATAACTATGCTCTTCGTTTTCTAGCTTTGTATATATTACCTGATGCAACAATTATTTTGATGTAGAATCGTCAATTTGTAGTCATGTAGTACGTCAAAACAACATCCGCATGACTAGTTATGCAACCCAAAATATTAAATAATTTTTATTATATACAATATCTTTTTTAGTGAAAATAATAAATATATAAGTCATAAATATTCCATCAACGATGTAAGATTAAAATTAACTTAATTAATTTAGTGTTTTAGAATTTGCAAGTATGATCACGATGGGTTGCCTATAGTACAACAGATCCATCAGGAGTGAAAACCCATATTGATTTCTTCCATTTCTTCATACAGAGACATCGTTTACGACGAATCCATATAGCTACCGTACATACATGATACATGTGACTGGCTGGCTTATGACATCGACAAGACGCAGCTAAATGCAGGAGCGCTCTCTTAGATGAGAGCTTAGTACGAATAGGAAGATTTCTTTATGATTTATTATAGATATTTAAACATTCAATGGATAATCTTTACTGACCATACTTCATTCAGCCACAGATGTTGCAATAATAATTGAAATTATCAAGAAGTTAATACTATCTATATTTTTCTTAAAGCAATACATGATATCGTCTTTTATAATATACCATTTGTTATATACCAAAGTTTGTTAAACAATCATGAGGATACCATTGTAGCTACAAATTAACATTTGGGCTCATTTTAATCCCTGTATATTCAAGATCATCATGCATTTGTAACTTTCTTCTGGGAGCTCATGTTTACGAAAATACAGACAATTTTTGAAGAAGCTATTTTCCCAACTCATTTGTTATATACCAAAGTTTGTTAATCAATTATGAGGATACCATTGTAGCTACAAATTAACATTTGGGCTCATTTTAATCCGTGTATATTCAAGATCCACATTCATGTATAACATTTTTCTGGCATCTTTTGTTTACGAAAATACAGGCCATTATCTAGAACGCTATTTTCCCAACTCATTTGTTATATACCAAAGTTTGTTAAACAATCATGAGGATACCATTGTAGCTACAAATTAACATTTGGGCTCATTTTAATCCCTGTATATTCAAGATCATCTTGCATTTCTAACTTTCTTCTGGGAGCTCATGTTTACGAAAATACAGACAATTTTCGAAGACGCTATTTTCCCAACTTATTTGTTATATACCAAAGTTTGTTAAACAATCATGAGGATACCATTGTAGTTACAAATTAATATTTGGGCTCATTTTAATCCGTGTATATTCAAGATCATCATGTATTTGTAACTTTCTTCTGGGAACTCATGATTACGAAAATACAGACAATTTTCGAAAACGCTATTTTCCCCACTCATTTGTTATATACCAAAGTTTGTTAAACAATAATCAGGATACCATTATAGCTACAAATTAACATTTGAGTTCATTTTAATCCCTGTATATTCAAGATCATCATGCATTTGTAACTTTCTTCTGGGAGCTCATGTTTACGAAAATACAGATAATTTTCGAAGACGCTATTTTCCCAACTCATTTGTTATACACCAAAGTTTGTTAAACAATCATGAAGATACCATTGTAGCTACAAATTAACATTTAGGCTCTTTTTAATCCGTGTATATTCAAGATCATCATGCATTTGTAACTTTCTTCTGGGAGCTCATGTTTACGAAAATACAGACAATTTTCGAAATGGCTATTTTCCCAACTCATTTGTTATATACCAAAGTTTGTTAAACAATCATCAGGATACCATTGTAGCTACAAATTAACATTTAAGCTCATTTTAATCCGTATATATTCAAGATCCACCTCTATTTATAACATTCTTCTGGGATCTTATGTTTACGAAAATATAGGCCATTATCTAAGAATTTGTTTTCCTACTTGTTCATCAAAGTTTATATGTATGTTTGGTTGCAGCCTGTTTCTTAAATATTCCGAAAGATGTGTCTGCTTGTGTAAATTAAAACGCATAAAACTTGAAAAGTAATTAGCATTTAAATTATTATACTGAAGTAATAACATAGGATTCATTCAAGCACTATTCTTATATGTTTGTTTATTAATATTAGAACGTTTCTCAGGAACTCGATTTTATGCATCGCCAAAATGCCTGAACTACTACCTTTACTATATTGCTAACAGATGCCACTAGCTATCACGAAAATGGAATATTTATTTTGCGCCTATAGTGCAGCAACCAAACATACTATAAACTTTGATGAACAAAAAAGAAAACAACTTCTTAGATAATGTTCTGTATTTTGGTAAATATGAGCTCCCAGAAGAAAATTATAAATGCATGTTGATCTTGAATATACACGGATTAAAATGAGCGCAAATGTTAATTTGTAGCTGCAATGGTGTCTTCATAATTAATTAAGAAACTTTGGTATTTCACAAATGAGTTGGGGAAATAGAGTCTTCGAAAATGGCCTGTATTTTCGTATACACGAACTCTCAGAAAAGTTTTGAATATTATTGTTGATCTTGAATATAGAGAGATTAAAATGAGTATAAATATAAGTTTGTAGCTACTATAGCGTCGTCACAATTAATTATCAAACTTTGGTATTTTCGAATAACAGTTCGCTCACTCACCCAAACGTAACATTCAAAATTTCAATCAAGAACAACCGATGCTAAGAGCTTAGATGCCTCCTCACTACTCATAGTCTCCTAGTGCAAATCCCAATTTTCTGGCATTTCAAGAATCATTTTCTGGGGGAGACTTGCGTTTTGATTTGCGATAACCGCCAACTCATTAAAGCTTAATTACTTTCTTATTAATTGACCAAAAACTAACGTTTTTCATAGCAAACGGAAGCGAAAGAATTATTCTTTAAATTAAATTTTTATAATATATATGAATATAACCATTTATTTAACTATTTTTTTCAATTTGCTGCAATACCTTCACGTTTTTTAAATTAATCGATTACTCGTCATAACTAAATAATCGAATAAGCAAATTAAAAACAAATTACAACCTTTCCAATGAGGTATGGCATTGTGATTTTGTCAGTACATTTACTATAAGTTATTAAAATCAAGCATTTAATTCTCAATCCAACCTAACCCAATGAAAATTATATTATTTAGCACCTGACGAATCGATTTACGCAAATTATATAATTGATGCAATGGAATAATGATGCTCTTTGTATGTCGGTCGACCGATCTTTGCTATAATCAATCATTGTAGTAAATATGAGGACAAAACTGCAAAAAAATCAAATAAAAAATAAAACAAATAATATGCATTATTATCTTTATTTAAAAAAGTTGCGTAAGTTTGGAGTAATTAAAAACGTGAAAATTTGTCGAATCTCAACAAAACAGCATTAAAAAATTTTATTCACTTTTTTTCCAATTTCTGCAGCAAGCGACTCGGCGACAGCACGAAGATGCCAATATTTTCGTTGAAAAGGTGAAGTATTCAGCTTTAAGTTGTGTGGTCGATGATGTAATTATCTTGAAGGGTTGAAGAAATTCACGAAAATCTGAAAATAATTCGGAAAAAATTAATGACAAATAAATCTTGGTTGTTTTTCTACACATACCCATAATTCGCGGGGTCGCAGAAACTTTTTATGTCCAAAAGGGGGTTGCGGACCAAGAAGTTTGGGAATCAGTGATCTACAATATGTTATGATGATAAAATTATATATAATTATTTTTAAGATATTTATCAATAATATTATTTCAGTTTACAATTGACCTACTCGTTTATATTGCAAATTTCACGAAACTAATTTTTTTTCTGCAATTATCTGAATTGGTTATATAAGCATATAATATTACATGAATGCCTGTATTAAATTACTTATACAAGAAATGTAATGATATAAAGTATTATGTGAAAATATACGCTGATTTATGTACTAAAAAAAAATATTCACTAAATACGTTAGTTAATATTGTCGAAGTAATATAGTTCTTTTTGTATGTATATGTATATCAAAATATTGAATCTAAATAAAATATCTGATACTGTTCTAGTTATTAACTATATTAGGAAAATGATAAAATTAAATAAAGGAAGTTGATTTCCCTTTGCAGCGCTCTCTATGTAGCCGATTCTGAACCTAAGATTGAAGAAATTGTTTTTGGATGAAGTGGATGTGGAACGACATATTATTGTTTTGAAACATAAGTAAATAGAGAAAAACCGTTGTGTGATGTAGAACAGAAGAGCTCATTTATTGTAGTTATTACGCCATTGTTGTTTCGTGCAAAACAGAATTGGGAGTGATTAAGAGACAGTAAATCTGTAGCGTCCAGCAAGTGTCCATTCAGAATCAAGGTTCATGCGCGGATCTCCTTGTTCTAAGTTAAAGTTGATTGAAGGGTTTGCCAGTTTATTATTTGCATGCGGCCATTGAGATGTATATGGTTAATTGATAACAAATATTTGTGATTGGCGTCAATCTATAGCCTGTCGCCAAGATGTTGAATAGGTTGAAAAGTGCAGTGAGTGGAGCTGTTGAAGGCTTGGAGGGATCCAGATCTGGATCATCAAGAGCTCAAGCTAATCCCGGGCCACCTAAACATGAATACTCTAGACCTTCATTTATGAAGCTCCCAGAGATAGCATTATCGATATCGAAAGACAAAAAGGTCCGTCCTATACTTTCTGCAAGCTCCAGCTCCCCGTTACCTTACAACTCTGGCTATGCTGAATGTGTGAATGCAGGGAAATCTAGCTTTAATGAGGATATGGCACAGTTGTACCATGGCACACTTAAATGCAATATAAGTGATTTTGAAGAAGCTATCCTACCTTATGCTTATTATGCCATATTCGATGGACATGCTGGCTATGGAGCATCTTTAGATGCCAGCAAACAGCTTCACCATATATTACACGTAAGCCATTTCCTTTATTCCAAATGCACAAGTTGATAAATTTTTATGTTACAGCAAAAATTGGTAAATAGTATGGACATTATATTCGCATCACTCAAGACACCTGCTCAACCCAAGACCATTGACCGCAAGACAATAATAATTGGTTGTCTTGAAGCTGCTTTTGTTGAAATGGTATGCAATCTCTACTTATTTACAACACACATATTTTACTAATAGCTTTGTTTTTTTTCTAGGATGAGATTATAGGTGAAACGCAAACAATGAATTTTCAGAATCCTGGAGGATGTACAGCTCTTGTAGCTTTGTTTATGTTAGGTGATCTATATATTGCAAATGCTGGCGATTGCAGAGCTGGAATATGTGATAATGGCAAATTCGTGCAAATAAGCAACGACTTTTCGCCTTTCTATGACAAGGAAAGAATTTACAGGAAAGCATCTGAAAACCCAAGTTTACTAGGTAAATGAATTAATATAATTAATAGAAGTTTTATTTACTTAAAAGCTTATTGTAGGAAACGGGTATAATATCCGCGAGTATTATGATGTTCCTAGTAGAGACAATTTGGGAAAAATGGTCCTATATAAAGAACCTTATATGAAAGGTTGGTCATATAAAACTTTAACAGTTGATGACTTAAAGACCCCTCTCATTACGGGAACTGGTCGCCGGGTAGCTATTTATTCACAATATATATATTTTTAAATGAGTTAACATTATTAAATTTCCAGAGTCGTATCATGGGCACCATCGGTGTTGCTCGAGGTTTTGGAGACTTTGAATTGTCTTCAATTCATCATAAGGTCCCCATCAAGCCCCTATTGAGCTGCATTCCGGAAGTGACAGTGTATTCGCAAACGGATTTGGTAACAAACTATGCTGTTCTGATAATGGCAAGTGATGGATTATGGGATGCAGTTGATCCCTCAGACGTCGCAGATATCTGTTGCGACTTAAATTTGAGCACTATGAATGACTTAAATAAATACGTGACCGTTGCAATGAATTTGGTAGCAGCTGCAAGGGGAAGGAAGAATCACGTAACAAACATGTGGATGTTGAAGAACTCCAACCAAGCTTCCGTTGACGATATATCTGTCTTCGTTATACCATTCCAACCGTATGCTTATAAGCGGTGTGAAATTATTACTAAAACTCTTCCAAAAGTACTTTGGCCTATGAATGTTTACGAAAGCGACAGCGGGGAACCAGAAGAGCAAATGGATATGGACCAAATATCCAACGATGGTACTGAAATAACTCAGGTGGCTGAGTTGGATGAGGTGCTGAATGAGCTATTAGTTGTCAAGTTTGAGCGTGATATTTTGGAGGATGATGCACAACGGCTGCGAGACATAGCCGAAAATGAAGTTCAGGTTAAATGCGAAGTAGATAGCCCAGAAAAATCAACTGATGAAGATTTTAATAACAAAAGGTCGCATAGCGATACTGAATAAGAGCGCTGCTCTATTTAAAAGTATTATTTTAAATATGATATGATTCCCTATTTTTTTTTTAAATATTTATATAATAAAATATATATATATATATATATAATCTATAACTCTGTTAAGTGCAATTCGTATAATTTTGATCATGTATTATTTTATTAATTTTGGATTTAAATAAATTATAGTTTGATGTTGGATATAAGTTAGATCAAATAATAATTTATTGGGTGACATATGTTATTTCTTAGGAAGGTAAAGCAAACTCCGTGACGGGTAGCATTTGGATGGGTGACCAGTAACTATTGGCAAAAACCATTGAAAGTGAGAATTTCCAACTTATACGAATTGCTATTTAAAATTGGTTGTTATCTAATGGAAAGTCTTCTTGTTTCATACAATTTTGGGTCATGTAATTGATAATATTTATTACGTACAAAAATAGGAAAAAATTTACAGTTATATACAATAGGAAAATAAATACTTTCGTTTTGAATAGAGTATTGAAGTTAACTAGAAGAAACCAGGATTGGTGTGCTCAATGACGCAGCGCTTGCAGTACTTCTTGACGGCCCTGTATCCTTCCAAGGATATCTGGCAGTCCTGGATATTTAACTGCTGTAAACCTCTGCAGTAATACGCGATGCATTGCACACCCCTATCAGTAACTAAATCACAGTTTCGCAAGCTCAGCTTTTTCAAGTTCGGACAGCTTTCAGCGAGGGCGCGAAGACCTGCGTCGCTGACGTCACACTTGCCGATGTCCAAGGCCCGAAGACGGGTGCAGGATCTGGCGAGGACGGTGATGGCATCGTCAGAGACTGCCTCGCATCCCCGCGCGTTTAAGTATCTAAGTTTGTAACATCTGCGCGCGACAACTTTGAGACCGGCGTCGCTCACTTGATCGCATTTCGCCACTGACAAATACCGCAGTATTGCCCCCAACTTAGCAAGTTCGTATAGGCCAAAGTCTGTGATGTTAGAACAGTCACTCACACTCAACTCCCGGAGGCCCGAACAGAAACTTGGCACGAACTTCAATCCTGCATCTGAAACAAATATTTCGTATTATGTTATGATAGTTATAAAAATTAATACAAATGATTTCTAAAATTAATCATATCGAGATTATTACCTGTTATTTGAATGCATCGGCGTAAATACAAATAGGCGAGTTGGGGACAGTTCCGAACTATTATTCTTAAGCCATTGTCCTGCAGCGAAGGGCAGTCTGTGAAGTCCAGGTATTGGAGTTGCAGCCTTTTCGGCGGGTCGGGCCCGGAGATGGGCGTCAGGCAAGACAATTGAACACAGCCTTAAAATGTGTATTAAGATTTTGGTTCTTGTTAGTTAGTACATGGTGCTTACCGGTAATATCTAAATGTTGGAGATTGGAGCAGCGGGTGACGATTTCGTAAATGGCGTTGTTTGAGACGGCCGGGCATCCTTGAATCTGCAGATGCGTTAGCTCAGGGCATCTCCTCGCCAAGAGCAAAAGTCCTTTATCGGTGATCTTAGCACCGTCGATTAAGTGCACTTTTTCCACGCCCGGACATGCCCCCGTCGTCCCTTGTCCGCACAACTGTCTCAGGACGCCTCGGATCGCCTTATCTCCACTCAAAGATTCCCCAGATAAAAGGATCGTTCGCCACAGGCAAGGCTTCCAAGCCAAGTTGTCGAACCTGCGACATACCCTCGCGCACACACTTAGGTCGGAGCTGGGCAGGAACGAGAATATTCTAATCACTAGCTCGTCGCTCAGCCGATCGAAGGAGTTGTTCTTCATTTGGTAGCGTTTCCCCTTGTAGATGTGACCGTCCGTCCACAGATTTGGGGTGGTCGACCCCGGGCTCGGGGAGACCAGCGTGTGGTATCCTTGGTCCAGGTTCGGGCTGTTCTTGCCCAACTTCGTGAAGTTATCCAGCAGGTAATTGGTCTCGCTGTGGTGCAGCTTCGGGGTCATGTTGAAGTACTCGTGGCTCGAGTCCGACTGGCTGGTCTCTATTTTGCTATAGTTTTCATGATCCCAATAACTCGTTCCCAATGATAGCGACGATAAGTCCAAAGAATTTTGCTTCTGGTAATTCGTAGCGCGAGGTGATTGACTGGAGCACGGACCCTCGGTTTGTAAATAAGAATGCTGCTGATAAAATCGCTGGCTTATGAGAGAGTGCTCCGATTTTTCCTGATAGTCTAATGATTGCTGCTTGTATCTCCCCGTTTCGTAAGTGTACAGCTCGGCAGTATAAATATCGTCCGTGGAGCCCGCCGGTTGATCAGATAGGGGTGTCGACCGGCCCAGGCGGACCAAAGGGCACACGGGCCGCGGAGACAGCCGCTCCAAAAGCCCAGCCGGTGGTTGATTCATCTCTTTAGTTAACCCTTTGCACATGCAACAGAAACAAATTGAAAACAAATGTAATACCTCAAACATACAATACTAAACGTACACTAACTATCTATATAATATCCTCCAATAAATTCATATATTTTATCTATATATATATTTATACACGTATATATAAATGCATGAATGCGGCATGTCTGTGTATGCATGTGTTTGTATATAGACGTGTCTCTGTCGGTGTGTGAGAGTGTGTGTGTAATAAAATGTAGGTTTGCATTCCAGCAAATATGTAAGAGTTTGGCCAACAGTAAGGGGCCGACTGGAAGTCGCCTTTCAATAACGTCGAATGTGAAAGTCGAATACACACGACTTCTTCCATATATATATATATACACACTATGTATATACATAGCATATCTATATATATTTATATATCCTTGTCTAGCAATTAGTCCAGCCGGGTGTGTTGGAAAAAGATATATATTATTATGTATTTGGAAACACAATACCAATAGCGCAACGAAATAATAATGCAAATTGAAAATAAATGTCACAAAGGCATAACGAGTGAGTTTAACCGGGACATTAGCGCGCAAAACAATGCGTGCGTTTTATGTTCCTCGAATGTTATTGCAATATGCTTCAAAAGTCCGTGTCCGAGGTGTGCGCAAAGAGCAAACCAAAGTAGAAACCGAGAACCGGAAGATGGAAATATCAAAAGCAACCTATAGACGAAGGGCGGAAACCGAGCGAGTTGAGGGTTGTTTATTACAACAAATCATCATCGAAATGATTGGATTGCTTAAGCCAGATCCACAGCACAGCGTGTGCGTTTAATTGCACGAAATGCATCCGATCGGGCGCCCCTCGAAAGGAATTTCGTGCCGTGACCGCGCGTCGAAGTCTCCTCAAATCCTACGTAATATTTCTACAATTGGCATCTCTTCTATCGCACAGATTTATACAGCATTCCGATATAAGTCACATGATTCCACCAGAGGCCGGGCCTATAATGCGTTTTGCCTAATGCCTCGAATTCTTCGTTCGATGGAGGAGCAGAGGATCTCTCCGCATCTCGCGCACCACACGGAATACTTTAATATAGGGTATAGTGTGCTAAGTAAAACCGAAGAGGTCGACGACCAATTGACGTACCTCCTTATAACCTAACATTTGCTTAATAATAAAACAGACAAATGGATCCACATTCGAAATGAAATGGAACCTATCGTTGATCGAACAGCTTACATGTTTTCTTATCCGTGTCTTAATGGTATCCATCTTGGCTTAAGTCTAATTAGCACGCGCACATTTTTCATTCCGAACACTCGCTATTTGTCACGAAACACATTGATGAGCGCAAGGCAGGCAGAGAGAAGGTACACTGGGCTTTGTTAATGCTGGATGATCTGAAGAGGTGCTGGTTGCTGCTTGCTGCCTGGCTGCTGCTGCCCTTCGTGCCACGAACGGTCGCTGACTGGTTTCTTTTTACCAGAACCGTCTTAAGATTTTTCTTTCGACCAGTAGAAGGGGGGCAGCCCGTGGCTTTAGGTGGGGTACCATTTTACATATATTATGGACTGCTTTCCTCCGATCTTTTAATTGTAAATTATTGATGCTGCGCTCGGACATTCGTTCTTTTTTTTTTTCTTCTTCCTCTTCTTCTTCTTCATGATCTTCTTCTCATTCCAACATTAACAAAACTTCAAAAAAGTAAATATAAATATGCCCATTAATTAGCCCAATCATAATCATTCCATTATTCAACTCTCTGCTTATAACACAAGCCCAATATATTAGTTTCAATTGTACAAACAATAATTAACAAACATTTATTTCAAAAATCAAAGTATTCCAGACTAAATAAAAAAAAGTTTAAATTATTACAAAAATTATAATTTTACATTTTTAGTATTTAATAAAAATTAAATATAATTTCACTTCAATATTTGTAAATAGTTCAAACGCAAACCTAATTACAAATAAATATTATATTATATAATAAATAATAAAGTATTGTAAATACATGTAAGTTAAAATAAAATGAATTTAGTAATAAACGATTCACAAAACAATAATATTTATGGCATAAAATAATTACACGGTGGAGGAATGAATATTAATTTGAATAATGAATAAATATGAACTTTTCTATAATAAAAGTATTCTATACGAAAACGGGACTTTCCTAATTGCAATTAAAATTATTAGTTATTAAAAGCAATATCACTTGTATTCTTCTTTCGTGGAAACATTATTTCAATCTAAACTCACTTAAATAATTCAAAATACTGTATTCTTCAATTATCTTTGTGTATATTACAATACGACAGAGTATAAACAATTTCTAATAACTTAATATAAACATGAAACAAACGCAATTTTGTAAATAATAATTATAATCTTAATTGCTTAAAATAATTACAAAAATCTTATTGAATCCTGTATTGACATTATTAAAGAAAAAGTTCAATATTAATTAGAAAAAAAATTCTTTGACGAAACTGAAAAATTACTCAAAGCCATTTAAAACAAAAGTCATTAAGAAAAAAATTTATATTTGTATACGTGTAATAAAAATCATTTAACTATTTGTCTATATTTTTTTATTAATTTTGTATAGAAAATTATTTTTTTTTAAGGTTTCAGCTAAAACTTTTCACTATAATTACTTGTACTTTCTCAGGCATTTGGTTTGGTTTCGTAGAACTATTTCCATGATTAATATTTTCTCACAATTGAATGACGTAACTTCATATAGGTTCAAATATAATTTTATATATTGCATATAATATACCTGCGTTTCTGAACCTATGGGTAGCGTTTTTTTTGGATTGCGAAACGACAGCTGTCACTTTATGTAAAAAGTGACAGCAAAAGCGAGTGTTCTCACAATTGAATACTGAATAATTATATATTTTTTTCTCATTATTTATAAATATTTAGCATTTACCAGTGTTTCTCAACCTATTGTTCTCGAAATGACAGCTGTCACCCTATGTCAAACTGGAGAGATACTTTTAACAATTTGCTAGCAGTACAAACGTGGTTGAAAACTTTCATTTTGTTTCCTAGTTTTTACCTGTAATTTTAGGTGAGCATAAGTTCGACCTTCAAAGTAGACAAGATATTCTTTATATTTTCGTAAAATTAGTAAAAATATCAATTATTAATTTTAAATCAAATTCATTAATAATTGTAATTAGCAAAAACGTACGGTATAAAAATTTAACTCCATTGACCTTGAACATTTTAATTTACGTTTCATTAAATTGAAGACCGGAAGATCATTAGAATTCATTACTTAAATTAAAGTTTAAGATAAACTCTTCATTTACCAGGAACAATCAATCCCATTTTTTTAACATCAACGTTGGAGATCTCTTTAATTAATGACAACCTCCGTCGCATTCATTCAGATTTTTAAAAAAAATTCACATCAAAGAACTATTATGTATAAGTATAAAATCGAACAATTAGCTCGATCACAACATAAAGTCTATATTTACTCTTATTGTGTGTTTTTCTCGTATTATAATATTAGCAATGAGATTAATCATGGTTTAATTGATATTGACTGTACGGATTAAACAAAATCTAATCAGTCTATTTGTTATGATCTGCGTGCGTGTATGCACATGATAATGATTTGAAAAATGTATATATTTTTTTATTATTATTATTAGTTGAACGGTTATTCAAGAATTCATTGAATTGCATTTGTATATTCCATAATCAAAATTCCCGACACCGTGTATTCAATATTTGTTTTAATGTAATCAATAAAACTCCCATTGCTGTGAATTTATATTGTTATCATTCACATTGTTATCTGTCTATTATCGACGCCGATAGTACAAATATATTTTTTTTTACCCATTATCAATTGCGCCAACATTCCAACGCAATATTACGAATAATCGAACTATTTGATAGTTATACTCATATTTTATCCTGTTTTACCAAAATTGACAATGTACTTTCAATAATAAACTTATTATTAATTAAAAACAAATTTTATCTATATTTTTCATTATTGTCTTATAACAGTTACATAAACAAATATAAAAATATTAAAAAAATTTGTTACAAAGGGCTATTGACCACAGGTCTACATTCTGCCCAACATTTTTTTTTTAATTAATTTTAAAAATTTTGGAATTTTTGCATTAATTTTTTTATATATTATTTATAGATTTATGTTTGGAAATATTTAATCTGTGAATGCTTTGATAAATCGTTCGATTGATGCGATAATAAGTTTTGTTAAGTCAGTTAAATTATGATCTCTACAAAAAACGTTAATATTTATGTTACTTTTAAGTATATTTTGATGTTGTTTTTAAAATTATTATTAATTTTTAATATGAACTTTATAGAAATACCAAACTTTAGTATGAATTCTAGAATTATTTTGTATATTTACTTTTTCAAAAGTTTATAGATATTTTTTGTAAAAACATTAGTTTATAAAATTTATTTTACTGTATAAAAATATTTCTTTATATTATTCGATTTTTCTATATTATTAGATTACTTCAACAAATTAAGAAAATTTAAACAAATTTACCAACATATGTTTTCTGAATGTATTTTCAAGACTAAAACTCTATCATCTACCAATTATGTTAGATGTTTAGAAGTATCCTAAATCTTATCAGATCTACCAACATGATACAGCATTATGTAATTTCATCTCATAAATTGATTTATATAAAAAATAATTCTATTGAAAAAATGGATATTTAAAACCAATGAAAATACATTAATTCTTTGAAAGAAACTGCAATTTGCAACAAATTATTACAATTACATTATAAATATGTTAATTGGAAGATTCTATGTGCATTTTATATTTTTTGGTATAAGTATAATTCCTTGTTCGCACTAACGTACTCGACGTTCATATGAACGTACACTTTAAAGTTTTACATTAATATTCTAACTAAGTTTAGTTTAATTGTACTTAATACAGGCATACAATCTGGACATCTTTGATAATTATCAATTAAAAACATATTTTTATTAACAAATTTATAATTAATTTTATAAAAAAAAAGTATTGATTAAAAAAAATGCTTTTACATGAAGTTTCTTGGCTTATAATGTATAAACTTCACTTAAATGTTATGTAATTTTAGGGAAAAAAAAATACAATTGTACGAGTAAGTTTTTTTTTTAAGTTATTGAATAGTCAATTACTTCACATAACTTGTAAAAATAAATGGGCGCTATAAAATTGAGGAATTATAGAAGGAGAGGAAAAGGACGGAACGCATGTTCTGGCGCGGAATGCGCTGTGACCACCTGAAGAATGAAGCAGGCATTGCGTAACGATTTAAAAATAACACTGACCTAGTGGGAGGATCTCCTGCTTTAAAATATGTTAGGACCACCTGAAGAATGGGGACGGGTGGTTTTGTAGTTACGAAAGGAAATAAAAAGAGACATCTCGTGATCAGATTTATAATTATAATTTCAGAATGTTTTATAGAATTTACATATTTATATTATTAATTAATTAATTATTTCTAACGATAATTATATTATTATTTTAACGAAAATGATACAAATCTAATTTACTATATTCGTGTAAATCATATGTTATTAGTTGATTTAATCAACAGCGTGCATTAATTGTTCGACCTTGTTTAACTTTGCTGGATTAGTGTGATTCACCCCAATCCACGTATAGCTAATTTGAAATTAATATGTAAACATGTTTGTTGCAGTTTATATTTGTTTCTTTGATAATTATTATTATGTAATAATAATAATATCAATAATAATTAAGCGGAAAAACCTATGTCTTTTGTAATATTGTTTGTTATTTAATAATAAATATCGATAATTCTCGATATTCCGGTTTCAAACAGTGCGGAATATTGGTGATAGAATTTTGTTGAATTTATATAAAAAAAAAATAACTTGCATAATTGACATGAGCATAAGTTTACCATAAGAGGGACATTTGAATATAAGAATTCCTAAGAAGAAACTGAATGCTATCTACGTCTCTTCCCCATATTTAGCCACCCCACATACAATAATCCAATTCTGGCAAACTTGTACACGCCAAACTTCATGACCTTATACCAGGGCTCTGGAGCCGCATGTGGCTCTTTAAATGAGTAATTACTAAAATAAACATTGATTCAGATAAAATAAAGATAGAAAGTTAATGTGATAATTGTTGTTAGTAGAAGTGTTGATAACTGATACATTCATTTTTCTTGTTTAAAATTACTAGGAATTTGTTGTAATTTATAGTTATGTTACTAGATATGTATCTGTTATACATATAAGGTTTATTATTGTAATTATTGTATGCATATGCTTGGTATTATATAGATTTAACTTCATGATGCAGAATGTATATGCCCATACCGATTATTATGATACGTATCTTAAATATTTACTCTTGAGCGATCAATATGTACACTGCAGGAAGGTAAAAAAAAGAAGAAATATACATAACGAAACTAGTTTTCATCGTCT